AATTAATGTAGAGTTTAGCTAGAATCAATCGGCATAGCGTCCGAATTATATAAAAATGATACTCCAATAACATAGTAGAGCGTAGGTGTCACCTAAACCTAAGGTGTCATGCTAAGCTCAGCTGGAAAGAGCATGTAAAAAAAGGGAAGCTTGATATATAACTTGCTAAACTATACCAACAAATTAGCAGGAAATCCGTTCTAGCAATCCAAAAAAACTGCTAGTATATAATCAAATCCTACTATTGGGTTGCTGAAGTCAAAACAAAACTAAAATATCAAGCTGTTTTGAACTGAGACTTAGACGATATTTTAAAGAGGAGTCTTTGAGATTCAACGAAGCTGCTGTGCTAGAAACCCGGTTAAAACACAAAATGCTCTCAAAAATGGTTCGAAGACAACAGTATCAGCAAATGCATTTCATTGACATTAAGCTTCTAAATTTTTTACTACTTATTAATGAGAATTTAATTGCTTGTTAGTACCTATCTTTTGCTTTTGCATATACTAGGTACAATTGTACAGCGTTTAAAAGTTATCAATTTAAGCGTAAAAATTAAATAATTTTAAAATATCAAAAACTTACAACTGCTGCCAAGGTTATAAGGACACAACAAATTGAAAACATTGTATAGTTCGTGAATAAAAATTCCGAAACTGGGTGAGGCGGACCAAAATTTAGAAGCTGGAACAAAAAAATTAAGGGCTTATGGGAAAATGTTGCGAACATAAGAAGTTGTTGCAATCTACTATTCCTAGCAATGCTCTTTTTGAGTAAAATAAAATTTTTGAAATGTTTTTATCATATTTAGTCATATGGGTTTTAATCCATTGCGCACAAATATGGTGTTCCATAATATTTAAAATTAGTTCCACAGTAGCAACTTCATAACCAGGCATAACGGGATGTCCAACTCTTTCCAGTGTGAGAGCACCTCAAAATTAGCGTTTTTTTAACATTTTCCATTGTAGCCAGATCGGACAAAATAATAATTTTTGGGAATTTAAATTAAAATACCCATCATTTCTTAAGATTAAATATTAATATACATGTATCCGTTAAACAATTGCAGAAACTTTTTATACCTTTTTTTGTAATTTTGTGATATATTAAACAATTGATTTTTTAACTTTCAATACGTAATCAAAAGAATAAATGTATTGTATTAGCTCTCAATTAATAAATGTTTTTGAAAATTTTCAATTGAAAATCAATACCACTTAGCATGACATCACAAAAGATATCATCACATATATTTCAATTTCGTTTCGTTTTCTTTCATTTTCATTGTTTCCCAATTTTTGTTAGTGATCTTCAACAGCAGCACAAATCTCCTTTACATATTTTTCTGTAGGATTTTAATCTGGCCGTCCCTTTTTTTCCAATTGCTAAACGTCAGACCTACTGAACTTTGACAGTTGCTTGAGTTCAGTAGGTTTTGACGTTTATCAATTGCGCTCTTATTTCCATTGAGAGACGAGTTGGGCATCTCTTTATCTCTGTTCATAACCAACCATAGATAAGATGCCGTCTTCAAAAGAATAACTTAAAATTCTTGAAAGTTTTGCATGCGATTAATAGTCGGCCCTATTCCCGTTGTCGTTTTCGATTTAAAACGAAATAAAAACGGCTATTTGGCGTTCATGTTGGCAACATCGATATTTATCGAAAATAAATTGGTGTTATCCACCATGGATTTACTGAATCGAAACTCTTTGATTTGAGAGAGCGCTGTCAAAGTCCATATTTTTATAACATTTGACAGTGGTGCCACTAAGTAAAGAAATAAGTTTTCAGATTTTTTAATGTATTTCTTCGGTATTTTTCGGTTTCCATTTTACAGAAAAATATACGCAATTAAAATTAGTTTAACAAGCTTGATATCCTATATGACGTCTAAATATATGTACATGTATATTTTAATCACAAAAGATATTCAAAATTAACTTTTAAAACTAAATTTAACAATATATTTTAATATATTTAAACACTTACAAGTTTTAAATAACCTAAACATGAACCTTATTTCTTTTTTATATACTCGATAAAAAAATATCTTTCGATAATTTATTCGGGAGGCAAAGTTTACATAACATTTATTCTTGCCAAAATATTGTGGCGAATACGAATACCAGCACAAATTAGAATCGACGATAAACTGCCAGAAGCAACTAGACAGTGAATTCGTAGTTGCCAGACTGTTCTAGTAGCGAACTTAGTTAGGGACAGTTCTAATTAGAGTGTTGCCGTGTAAAAAGCAATTAAGCTAAAAGCAATAAGTTGTAAACTCGAATATCGAGCTATAAGTGTTAAGTAGTTGGAAAAAAGATAAGTAGCCATTAAATTGCTCATTTTATAAATCTACAAGTAACCAATCCTAAGATTTTCACTAACACACACGCAAAAATGTCCCACTTGGTACGGGTTGCCTCGAAAATTCTACTACTAAAATCACACTTGGTACGGGTTGCCTACTTATATTCTACTACAAAGTCACACTTGGTAAGGGTTGCCAACCAATATTCTACTACTAAAACGTCCAAATGACACAAATCAGCTATAGTGTGTTGCCGTATTATGTTTTAAAATTTATAACTTTAAGAATGTTTTTATTACATATTCAAATATTTTTCGGTTGTTTTAATACCTGAAGATTACATTTACATAGTATTATTTATTGTATTGAATATTATTTATTAATTGAAATAATCAAATGTTTCCAATTTTATCATATATATTAATGTGTAATGGTGATTTAGAATATTTTGTAAGTATTATTTATTACTTAGTAGATTGTTTTGATTATTGATATTGTTGTTAATGTAATTAATATTCATGAACCTGATTCATGTACCTGATTTTATGTATATATCTTTTCGAGTTATTATAGTTATGAAAAGTAGATTGTTTTAGAACTGCATATATAAGGTTGGCCGTTATTTCCCTTCCGCTTTTTTGCTCTTCATTCAATGCTTTATAAAAAGTGTTACAGTGATCGGATTTAGTTAAAATATGCGCCGTTTTGTTCGATGATCTGTTTCCATGTAGACGGCAACTTCATAATACCTTCCTCGTAGAAGCCCCCCTCCTTATTTGCGAAGAATTCGGACAGCCACTTTTCACAAGCCTCTTTTGAGTTCAACTTCACACCACCAAGGGCATTCGCCATGGACAGGAACAGGTGGTAATCACTTGGCGCTACGTCCGGGCTATATGGTGGATGCGATAAAACCTCCCATCTGAGCTCCCGTAGCTTCTGACGAGACATCAACGAAGTGTGTGGTCTGGCGTTGTCCTAGTGGAACACTACACCCTTCCTGTTGGCCAATTCTGGACGCTTCTAGTCGATCGCCTGCTTCAAGCGGTCCAGTTGTTCGCAGTAGATGGTAGAATTAAGCGTCTGGCCATATGGGAGCAGCTCATAGTGGATGATTCCCTTCCAATCCCACCAAACACACAGCAAAACCTTCCTGGCCGTCAATCCCGGCTTGGCCACTGTTTGGGACGATTCACCGGCCTTCGACCACGACCGTTTTCGCTTGATATTGTCGTATGTGATCCATTTTTCGTCGCCAGTTACCATCCGCTTCAAGAATGGGACGAGTTCGTTCCGTTTCAGCAGCATATCGCAGGCGTTGATTCGGTCCAGAAGGTTTTTTTGCGTCAAATTATGCGGCACCCAAACATCAAACTTTTTTTGTATCCAGCCTTCTGCAGATAGTTCAAAATGGTTTGGTGACTAACTCCCATCTCCTGGGCGATGTCACGAAAACTTTAAAATAGCGCGAATTTCGGCGTTAGTGAACTCCATGTTTACACGTCTATAACTGTTGAACGCAATATCCAAACTAATCATGCATAGCGTTGTTTTGTAGGTTATGTCAAGGCCTTTCAAATTATGTATAGTGTTGCCAGATACGAGCTCTGTAGCGCTTTGTACATTGCCGCGAAATTCAAAAGACAAAAAAGCGGAAGGGAAATAACGGCCAACCTAATATTATATGGGTGAATATAGACCTCCTGAACCGAACCGAACCGAAAAATGATCGGTAACGCACCTATATTGCAACCTCAGAGGTTGTGAGGAAAAGCAATAAATATATAAGAATCTTCTGTTTCGAAAATATTCTTGAAAGTTTTCATTATATTCTCCATTATAAAAACATGTTCACAAACAAGCCTTTCATTAACATCTCTGTGTCAAAAAGGCAGATTCGATCAGCTGATTACGGCTGTTTCACACACATCACATAGGAAAACAGCTGATTCTTTGGTTACTTATAGGCTTATACAAAGGTTTTGCTTGTCATTTGCTCAGTAGCTCATGAGCTATCTCCGAAACTTCTCTCTGAGAGAGCTCTTGAACTTTATCTCTACCACTAAGAATCCCGCAGAAATAAATTTCGAAATCAGTGGGTAATTTGTGAGATCAGATTTTTTGGTTACTTTTACGTATATTTCCAATCTTTATTTAAAGAGATTTAATATAGTTTTGATTTTAAGAAAGAGGGGGTATTTTGTCGCAGAGTATTGTTTTGCGTCGCAGTACCAATTGTCAACGTTCTTGTATATACATACTTTGGTTAGGATCCACAGCAAATGTTATGTCAATATTGACTTCCGAATAAATTATCAAAATATATTTATTTTATTCATCCAAGTGTATAATACATCAAAAAATCTCAAAACTTATTTTATTCCTTAGTGGTTTAATGACAAAAATATGTGTTATTAGACAACGAATTACCCAAACCCCCATATACTACAAATAATGATTTTCGGTATTCTCGCAAACTCTATGCTGAATATGTCGGTCAGTATATTAATTATGTATTTATGAAATAGATTGAAAATATGTTCTTGAATATAACTGAGTAATGTAAAATATACCCTATATATGTAGACCTTGGTCCAAACCTCGTATACTTAATATAATTAATTTCGATCTTCTAATTGACGTTTTGCATATCAACACAACATATTCAATTTAGCTTTTTCGGTTGGGTTTATGCCAGATATATTGGGAAAAACATACTTATAAAACTAATTGAATCTATTACCAATAAAATAAGTTGATAAGATTCAAATTTGATTGTAAACCATTCAGTTTCGTCGAATGTTGATTTCTTTCGCAACTTTTCTTACTTGCTTAATTTATGTTACATTATTTAGGTCATAGTGATAGTGATTAAACTACAAATAGTATTAACCTTTCTATGTACGTTCGAAAAGTTTCTTTTAAGGTTAATTTTTCATAATTCTGTTGAACTTATTCACATGTATTTTTATGTAACGGTATTTACAGCTGCAACTGCCAAATAAAAAGTAGATTAAATAAAAAACACCTTTGAATTATTTAGAGGAGTCTTTTTCTGCATTTTCTCAGAAAACTTACCATATTAATGTATATACATATTTTTAATGCCATCAAAAAATAGAGATTTGAATAAACAAAAATCCTATTGACTTTTTAAAATATCTATTATGACATAAGAATTTTTGATTGAAAATTATGGTGCTAAGTAAAAAAAAAGTAGAAAAAATAAATATTTGAAATAAATAACTCAGTATGTTTGGAACATAAAAAGGTGGCTTCATTGAGTTGCTTCCTTTATATCGGCCAATGTTAGAAACAAATACAACCTCATATCTAATAAACTGTCTAAACTTTACTTTAAAAAAACATCAAAAAAGTTATAGTAATAACGAATTTTTCTTATAATACGAGTACATTTATTCTTTGCATTCAATCAATACATTTAGACACTTTCAAGCAAAGTAGCATTTCTAATGTAGGTAAAACCGATAGCAATATATTGAATATGTTATAGTAATTGTATAAGCCTGTACTATTTTGGTGCGAAACTCTAGAATCGAGAAAAGATGAAAAGACACACTATTTTTGATCTTACCACATTTGTGCTTTGAACAAGATCCAGTCAACAAGATTCAGTCAGTTTTCTGGTTGAATATACCGTGTTCGTTGAAGTCGGGCCGAATATTGCAGGACAACAGAAAATAAACGGGGTTCTTTCGCATTTTCAAATTTATGTTTTGCTTTCGGTTTTTAAAATTTAATAAAGTATTACTAATTGATGCTATTATTTTTATCATGAGCATGTCTGTCCCCTTTTTCTATTTGCAGCCAAACTAAAATAGTACTAGAGTAATGGAGAAAAGAGTTTCACGTTTCCGTGTTTATCCGCACTGTATTATGAGAACTGACATATGGCTTTGATAAATATCTACTTTATCTCATTTTAAATTCATGTTATTTATAATTATTAAATTTTTCGAAAATTTTTGTTAAATATCCAAAATTAGAACATTTAACAAAAAAGCACAAATTTAATTAAACGTAATAAAAAATCCAGCTTTTGAAGCTTCCACGATGTTATATAATTCCAATAGATCAAAACCTCATCAAACATATTTTTCTAGGTTGGTATATACTTACATAGCTAAGCTTCAGGTTTTGAAAATAATTATCGATATGTAACAGTACGTAGGTTTACGTACATTCACACTTTACGTTTAACTGATTTATATTTTTATATAATGTACAAGAATATGTTAAAAATTCATTTGGTAAACTATTTAACAGTTCATATTTACGTTTCCATAGTATAATTTTTAGAAACCCTATATAATATTAATGTGAATCCTATATATATTTCTAATACTGACCTTTTATTATACTTTGCACAATTCAGTAAGTAAATATTAAAACTTTGTAATATTTGTAAGTAAGTTCTTGATATACTAGTCTTTAAAAGTCATTCAAACTATATATTTATGTATATAGTGGTAAGTTAACAGACGAAAGACTAATTAACGAAATAAAAGAAATACTATGTTACTGAACACAATAAGACTAAATACAAGCGTACCGTTCCAAGAAGCGTCAGAAAGCTGGCATACAGTTTAAAGAAATTCCTTCTAATAGCTGAAACATTCACCGATATTCCAATCTTCCACACTTTCCGCCTGTATCAAACCAACTTTGTCTAAAGTTATGCCCGTAGTTGTAACGTGCCCGTAAATGTTGACACGTATCAAAACTCGCGCTTACCTCAAAATCTTTTTCCAAATAATGCCGGTCATTGTTGATGGAAAGTGATAAATATATATGTGCGTCTCATTCTTTCGCATTCGAAAATTTTGCATGAGGAATGTTGCTACTCTTACAACAGAGTTTTCCATTTAAAAACAAAAAGTTTGTGAAATTTTACAAGTGTGCAAGCAGACTTCAATTGCAGCTGAGTGAAAGGGGAGCGATTTACTTGCTATTCACGTCTAGCTTGCCTTTTTTCAGTAACAAGCTTTTTTATTTCAACATTTGTGATTCTTCTAAGATCAAGCCGCCTGATTAGTTAGTTTTGTTTGGAGTTGCTAAGACTGCTGCATTACATTCACTAATGATTTTATCAATGTCTCTTGCTGAGTGTATTTTGTAATCAATATTAATTTGGCAACTGATATATTTAAAATATTTTTACTAATTCGTTTTATGGGATGTTAGACCCAATTTAAGGATACAATCAAGGGTTGTTCGCATAATTTTATTAGCACAGGAGAATGATCAGAAGATAAGTCAGTACATGTATCAGCCGTTATAAGCGATCATTTTATATTTTTGATTACAGCGAAATTAATTAAATCTGGTATTTTATTACAATCGCCTCGGCTTACCAGGATATATTATGTCAAGATTATTGCACCTATTCATTATAGTGTAATAAAGCTGCCTTCCTTTCGGATTAATTAGACGTGAGCGCCAATACATATGCTTTGTGCATTGTAATCAATCACCACATGTAAGAAATATAATAATGTAATCTTAAAACGAGGCTATATACTGCCCATAGCCCTCAGGTTTAAGTCACTACCGCGATTTTTTAAAAATATTATTGTAGCTTGTAACTGGGCTAACATGAGATTCTAAAGCATGGTGTCTTAATTGATTTCTAACTAGTACTGCTATTCCACTATGTGATTTGTAGCATATAATCTAAATCCCGGTATAAAAAAATAGTTCTTTGTTGTGAAAAGAGTTTCTGATAATTTTATTTTTTTCATTTAGAAATCTAATGATCGCTAATTTGTGTTGGTTAACACCGTTGGCATTCCATATACAAATATTTAGTTCACTAATTTTTTATATACAAATATTTAGTTAAATCATTTTTTAATTGCAATTTTAGAGCAATTTCATAACCGTGTACGTCTAGGTTAGTTCTGGTTTGCGATACCAAACAAGTGTTTGGTTTTTCTGAAATTTAATTGTATTAACTTCAATTCAACAAAGTCGATTGTTTTCCACCCGTAACAGGGGTATAGTATTATATTAACCACTATTGTTGGCTAAACAGTAAATTTGAATTTGAAAAAACTATTTCTTAAGAATATGGATAAATACCTGGTTGAAGATTAACATTTTTGGAACATTAAAATTGTATCAATTTAATATTTGAATTGCTTTAGTGAAACGTAACATATAAAAGTATATAATCCTTCTATACGATCCGAATTTATAATTAATAAATTGATGAAGAAAAGTTAAGAACTTTTATTCAACCATACCTCATTATCTAACATTACTTTTATCAAGCATATTCTACTTTATAGCTATTAAAGTGGAAAGACAAGATGAGATAACGGAATAAGAATGACACGGCATACATGTAGTAATGGATCATGTTAAAAATCTCTTGCAATATTAGCAATGTGGGCGAAAAAAATTCTTTAAACTCCGTTTTGAGACGAGTGCGGGCCAAAAAAGTCGTACTTTCTATTTTGTTTCGTTCATACAAGTTTTAGTTCCCCCATCCTTTTCCCTCATCTTTTAACCATCATACATGCATTAATACGAGTACATGACAGGCTGAAATAGTAGGTGCTCGTTATCTGTTTGACATTAATTTGAATTCAAAAATAAGTAAAGATATAAACCATTATTTTATGTAAACTGTTTTTTATTCAATGAAACTAATTGTATAGGTAAATATAACTATATCTATTATACTACGATTTTAATGTTTTACTCGTAGTAATCTTGCTCGATGATGTTACTATAATTTTACAAATCTTCTGTTCTCTAGATTTCTTATTCTAAATTAAGCAATCGCAATTGCTGTTATGCTGTCGTTAAATAAAATTTAATTAAAATACAGCTACATATTCATATAATGGTTTGCTTAGTCATCGGGTGTTACATTTACATTGATTTTAAAAATATATATTATTTTGCATACCAACTCGTGTACTTATGTATGTATATAAATGTACTAAGAAAGCAAACTAATGTGTGAATGTGTATATGTGTGAATTCTGGCAACAAAAAATCATCTTGAATATATATGACTATTACGAACTCTTGAAATCATATATAATATTTATGTGTTAACGCACCCAATCCTCTTATTAATTTTTTCTAATGGTATCTCTTCATACATTTATGTAGTGTCTTGTTTAATTGCTATTCCATTTATTTTTTCTGCGTACATATTATATATTTTGAAAATGGTAACTTGAATTGTATTCAGAACAATTGTGTTTGTGCTGTATAACAGCAATATGTCCATATATAGTAAATATGTAAGTAAATCAGTTGTATTGAGCATAAATTATATGCCCATCTTTATTATGTAATTTTTCTCTTTTCGAGTGAAGATTGTGAGATAAACATTTAACTTTTTGTACATAAATATTGTAACAATTAACCGTATAGAATGAAGATTGAGTGCATTGTATAACATACATAAATTATAAATATACTTGTAAATTAACAAACAATGAAAGGGTAGCTGTTCCGACTCGTACATGAATCTTCTATGGAAAATCCAATCAAAAATAACTTAATACTTTTTTTCATGCAAATCGGTATTGTTAATTATGTTCGTAATATACATGTATAAATTAATAAAGCTGAATGTGAAAATCATATAACGGAAATGAAACTAATAAAATGCCTATGTTTTTGATTTCTTTTCTCATATTTATGTAATATATTCTTATCCTTTAAAAGTTTTGTTTTCGTAAAATCCTAATTTTTAGCAAATATAGGCACCCTAAATATTAAAGCTTTTGCAAAACACTTTTACCTAATATAGAGTAACAATATATTTTACTTAAGTTTATATTAGTTTATTTTCAACATTTAGCTTTTCTTTAATTACGTTTAAGTTTATTAACGATTTTTTAACAATATTTGTTTAGTTTCTTCGTTTAATTTGCAGAATTATATAGGTCGTTCCCCTCAAGTCCTTTCGTGTATATCTTAATAAAATTTTTTCTACTACATTTTGGTTTACTTGTAGCTAAGTTAAATATAATGATTTACTATATTTTAATATAAATTATTAGCTGGTATTTAAATAAAAATTACAATAGGTTAATCAGTAATAAGAGAACTGTTATTTTAAAGTTTTATTTACTTAAAGATTTATTTGTCCATTTTTAAACATATATATTGAAAACAGAATTTAGTGTTGTTTTCGTTTTCGTGGATTTATGGTTACAGACTTTATAGAGATCTCTTTCACTTTGCAAAGTTATTTACCATTCCAAATGTTTAATGATTCAACTAAATACTATATTTTTTAAAATCAATTAAATTTTGTAGGATGTTTAAGTAAACAAGGGATTATATAGTAATTCAATTTTAGCGGTTATGTTTAGTTATCACAAATATTTATGAGTCTAAGTGGGAGTTTTGGTTCAATATTTCTCTAAATTGTTTAAAAATTGCGTTCATTATATTAAGGACTTTAGTAAAAACAAAACAAATACAATTTCACTGAATTCCAGTTACAAATATACAATACAACAAGATCGAAAACTTTTTTATTTTTATTTTTAAACAATAATCACTTGCGCACATATATAATATTATGGTAAAATATACATAAGAGGAAAGTACTATTTAAAGCGATTACAAATTTAAAAATAAATCCATAGTATTATTATTATAGTAGCTATTCAATACTGGGGTTGGGCATATGATATATAATTGCGTTCCCTTTATTATAGGTATATAGAGTTTTTTATTATTGCATTAAATATAGAAATTATAAATTGTTTATTTAATATGGAAAAATGTAGTTTGGTTTTTGTAAATTGAAAAACAGTACATGTATGACTTATATATTAATGTTCAAGTTTCGACTATTGTTTTTAAATTATTGCATATTCATTTTGTAACTGGTTACTAGTAATAATTTTAAAGAAAAATCATTTTATAAATACAAAATAAACAAGTAAGGAAAGGCTATGTTCGGATGTAACCGAACATTTTATACTCCCGCAAAGTCAAAGGGTATACTCGCTTGAGATTTCTTTATATATTTTGCTTGATTTGCATAGCGGAAAGTGAAAGAATCAGATGGAA